GCAGCTCCGGGACCGGCCCGGGCCGCCGCCGCCGCGATGGGCAACGCCGCCGCCGCCAAGAAGGGCAGCGAGCAGGAGAGCGGTGAGTGCCCGGGCCGTGACCCCGATCCCGGACCCGCGCTGCCAGCCCCCTTCTTGTCCATCACCGCATGGCCCCTCCCCCACGCGCCCCCCCATTCTTCGCTGCTTACCCCCAGTTCCCCTAGGCTGGGACCCTGGGGCCCGCAGAAGACCCCCCCGCATAGGGGCACCCCTGCCAAAGTCTGCTCCCACTGCAAAAGCATTGTCCCTACCCCAGCTGTCACTACTAGCCATAGCACGTCAGATCGCTGGGGCCTCACATGGAGCTCCGTCACCACCTGGCCCCTCTCCCCAAATTCTGACACCCCCAACTTCTTCACTTGCCTCTCACGTAGATGGGCCCCACTGCCAGACCCTGACCTAGGGTTCTGGCAGACTGTGAGTACTCAGGGGTCTGTCTCCACCCCGGAGGGACCTTGGCCACTTGGTGACCACACCCCTCCCCCCTCTAGCCCCCGCCATCTTTCTCTTGCCCTTACCCTCCTCACTTTATCCCAGCCCCCTGCCACCCTTGAGCATTTCCTCTCCTTTCCGCCTCCCCCCACCAAGCCACCTCCAGCGTTGTTTTTTTCTTCAGTGTCACTTGGCATGGGGAACAGAGTTTTTCTGGGTCCCTCTGCTGCTCTGTCGTTCTGTCACTCTCTGCCACTCTATTCCCCGCTCCAAGTAAGCGTGTGCCCCTGGCTGGGAGAGTAGACTGTTTTTGAAGCTAGGGAACCGCTTCAGTGCTTCCAAAGCCAAATTTGAGTCGGTCTTCCTGGGATTCATTGCGTCCTCTCTCCCTGGGGGTGGGGTGGGGGTGAAGGCAGCGTCAGAGTTCCTCCCCTCCCCTGCTGGGCTGCTGCGGAGCTCCAGGCTCCTGGAGGGCCCCTCAATAAATGGTTGTTTCACAACTGAGGCTCCCGTCATTCACCAGGTCCCCTGGGCTGCTTCACCCGTTCCTGGCGCTGGATGGAAAGTAGGGGGTGAAGAGTGACTGGGTTTAGCAAGGACTTGAGCTGGGATGGTGAGAAAGGGGATAGGGGGCAATTGGGGAGAGTACTGGGTGACACCTAGTGACTTGCTTTGCTAAGGAACAGACAGATTCTCGTCATTCCTGAGGCCCAGCCCTTCAGAGGCCTGTTTCTTGCCCTCGAGTTGTGCTGGTCTCTTTGCCGGTCAGAGAAAGATTGAGCTTCTGGAACTGCTTTCAAAAATGTCCTCGAGCCCCTTCCCAGTTCCCCTAGCTCCTGGCGTGAAGCTAGACCCCCACCTGACAGTCCCTTCCAGTTATTCAGAAATAGAACTGAGAAGGGAGCCGGTGTCCAAGTAAGCCTTCCCTAGTTCCTGCTTTCAAACATCAGCGTCTGTGCCCCCTGAATACCTCCTTTCAGAAAGACCTGGGCCTGCAAGGTAGGGAAACCTATACCCATATGGTTCAAAAACAGAACTCGGAAGAGCCAAACAGCCACAGGGAGGCCTGACATGTCACCGATGGGCGGGGGACCAGGAGGCAAGTGCCTGTAGTTGAGCGCTTGATGACAGAAGAGCAGGTGGGTAGTCTCCAAAAAAGGTCTGGGCCTGAGTGTGGAGGGGACTGGGGAGAGGGGGAGGGGCTGGCCCCCAGCAGGTGAGGCTGCTGAGAGGTGGCAGGTGGAGGCAGGCAGCTATATATTGCCTTGACTTGGTTGAAAGTTGGGAAGATGACATAGTCCTGGAAAACCTTCAAGGCGTACCAAGTGCATGCTGTGGGGGTGGGGAGGTGGAAAGCCACACAGGGAAAAGGATCCCCAAAAGGCCCCGGAAGGAAGCGCTAATTCTCAGAGCACAGACCAGAAGACACCCAGGAATGGCCTGTCACAATGGAATTGAG